CTTTTGTTCCTGCTTTTATCCAAGGCTTTTGGCAGTTTGGAGATGGAGGTTTTCGTCATCCAGAGAGAGTGGAGCCCTCAGTTCCAGGTTCCAGTTATGGTTTCAGAAGGTTAAGTGTGTCATGTGAATTAAGGTAACATTTTGTTCAAATTTTATACTAAAGACAGACATTTTTTTTATAAAATAATAATTGCTTTCGTTAACATTTAAAATTGTAAATTTTAGGTTTTGAGTAAAGCTGTCAATTTGTCTTTAGTTTTTTTTGAAATCCAATGTTAATTTATGACAGCTCGTTTTAGTGTTTTTTTGATTTTACTTTGTTTTGTTTAAAAAAAATTTGTAAGTTTTTCCATGCAATTGTAGCAACAGCGTTTGTAAGCAGATGACACATGTAAGTTTTTGAATTTTGTATTTCTCCATGTAACTGTTTGTGGTGACACATAAATAAATGTTAAATTTTGTTGTCTTAACATTTTATTTTTTTTTGAGCTAACCTTTTTTGATTCTTATTTGAAAAAGATATGTTTTTTTATGTTTTGATTTGTTTTCTAATTATTTCCCTAGTTACAACCAGTGGTTGTAATAGGTATAATTAGGCACCTCAAGTGGCGCCCTATATTAAATTCCTTGAGGTGTTTCTTGTTTATTTTTATTGTGTTTGTTCCAAGAGATTAATGACCCCTTTATTTCATTTTTTTGTAGTTGCCCCATTCCAATGCCCTTATCTTTTACTTATCCACGACCCCAGCTCTCCTACGAAACCCTGAGTGCCGTTCGCATCAGTAGCGATTATTTTGCTTGCCTTATCTCCACCCCTTTAGTTTCTCCCCCCAATTTTCTACCCTTTGTATTATTACCCCATGTGGTAGGCAAAATATTCGTTACAAAATTATGCTGTGAATATATTATAGGTAGATATGATTATAAGGAGGGATTTGTAGGTTTGGACAAGTGGTATCTTTGTATCAGGTTGAACTGAATACTGGTCATCACAAGCTCACGGGCCTAGATGAAGCGAATATAGCTCTTCCAAGTGGAGCCTCAGCTTCTCTCTAGTCTCTCTAGTCTCTAGTCTAGGCTCTCTAGTCAAAATACGTGGTGAAAAGCTATCACTTGGTTGTAGTTTTTTTGTTGGTAATTTCGTTACGATTTCGTCTGTTATAAGATCGAATTGTGGAACTTTCTTGGAGTCGATATACTGTTTTATTGTGGACAATTTCTGCAGAATTAGCAAGTTTATATTCACGTCTATTCCTTTGACTGGAACGGGTTTTCCAGATGGTATGCAAAAATACTATTTCAAATCTATCGTCCGTCAGTATAGTCTAGGCGGGATCTGTTTTGGATTGGAAATTTTCGAGGGAAGCTATTTTTTTGCTGGAATCCCTTCAGGATATGTCCAGTATCGATAATCACGATATGCGCCAGTCGCAAACCCTGTGCTAAATTTTTTATTTAACAAAATCTGAAAACAATTGAAAATTTCTCATTTTTTTGCTCCTATTTTCATTTATAATTCGAAAAATATTGATCTTAGAGAAAAAATTATAAGTAGTTAAAAGTTTCGTTATTAAATTTTACACAATATTTTGTTAGCTAGAAATTGAAAATTTAATGGTTATTGTTAAAAAAATAGCAATAATTGGAAAGAAAAGTACAAAAAAATGAAGTTAATCCTTTAAATGTTTTCGACTTTCTAAACTTGACTTACAAGTTCCATATTCCGCCTAGAAAAACTTTTTAATATGTTTAAAACGTGTGCTAAATTTTGTTAAGATCGGTCGGATAGGTTTTGCATAATAATTTTGCAATCCAGCCTACTGGAAAAAAATCGCAAATTTTCAAATTCATAGTAGGCCCTAAATAAGGCCTTCAGATAGTTGCAATTTTTTTTACATATAAAGGAAGTCTCACACTTTCAAACGCTTTTTGTAAAATTCAAATCGGTTTACTAGGAAAGCCTATAAATTTTTTAAAAATTATAAACATTTTTTAGGCTTATAAACAAATTAAATAACTTTACGAGCTTTAAACATGTCAATTTCAAAATTAATACACTTAAAGAACATTAAAAGACGCTTCTTTTAAGAAACAAAAAGATACATTCGGCTTACTGGTTGCCGAGATATTGAAGGTCAAATTTGGTATACATTTGCCGTGTAATCATAAGTGATAGAGGGCTCGTTTTTAAACAAATACCCTCGTCTTGCCAAATACTTTTTATATGAAAAGTTTTACGTAATGCGCTTCATGGCAACATCCATAAAAAAGACAAATAAAAAACCGTTTTCGCGTAAAATGTCGCTCGGAATCCATGAGAGGTGGTGGTGAGGGACATTCACTTCAAATGTGAATCAGCGAGTATCAAGTAGGGGACCATCACTTTGTTTAATTTCGGGTTTTGAAATAGAAACAAAAGTAAAGTGCTCCAAAATCTGTAAGGGCTTGTAAAGTAAATTGTTACTTTTAGTAAACAAATATGTATTTATAAATTGTTAATAAATAATTTAAATTGTTAAAACAAAGGCGAATGAAACAAAAATTTTCTTTTCATAAATAATCTTTATTTTGACTCAATCTTCAATAATTTTTTTTAAGTCTTTTTCTTTTTCTGGAAGGACAAGAATCTTCAGGTTTTATTTCTTCCTCAAAACCTTCATTTTCCATTTCAATATCTTCATCCTCGATCTGTAAATTTAATGTTTCTTCTCCTTCATCTGTAGCTATATCTTGTGCCTCCAAAAAATCTAAGGAATCCATCGACTCCATATCCATATCTCGTTCAACTTCTTCCAATATTTTATTGTGATCAATATTTTTACATGTTTGACCATTGCAGTGAAGACAATAGTCAGAACATTTGAGACCATGTTTGATACAACTGCATGTTTTTGTACAAAGTTTTTTTAATTTGCAACTAATATTTCTGAATAATGAGTCAGGTAGTAATACTTGCTCAGTTTGTATTGGCTCAAGACCATTTTGAGTTAGTTCCAACCCCCACTCAGTAGCATTCAGGTTATTTCCAAGCCACTGCTGTACTTGGAAATATACACGAAGCGAGTGTTGCTCAGCTGCAGATTGTGTAGGTGGCATTATGGACAATTGAAAATTTTTATTTTTGCAACCTTTTTTAAAGCACAAGTAGCGAATTTTATTCAATGTAAAATCGCACTTTGAGTGGCCCATATACAATGCCGATATAATTTTGCATCCGCTGCGTTTAATTTCTTCCTTAGTTGCAGTTTTTTCATTAAAAATGGTTGCTTCTTGCCATATATAATTATTTGTTGAAACCAATTTAACAATTTTGCTTTTTCCTTGATAAAAAAATGCAGAGGTTGTATCACAACCAGAAAATGCGTGTAAAAAGCCCACTAAATTTTTTACCGAAGATTTCGTAGATTCACTTATTTTAAGTGCATTATTGAAAGAGTTGTAGTAATAAATTTCTTCCGATTTTTTTCCTTTGCTAGGTTTCCAGAAAAAAATATTTTTATTTTCAGTTACTTTTTGTAAAAATATTACCAACACAAATTACAAATCAATATCCTCTGCAATTATAAAAACTGGCTTGTTATCTGAGGCTAATATATACTTGATACTCGCTGATTCAGATTTGAAGTGAATGTCCCTCACCACCACCTCTCATGGATTCCGAGCGACATTTTACGCGAAAACGGTTTTTTATTTGTCTTTTTTATGGATGTTGCCATGAAGCGCATTACGTAAAACTTTTCATATAAAAAGTATTTGGCAAGACGAGGGTATTTGTTTAAAAACGAGCCCTCTATCACTTATGGTTACACGGCAAATGTATACCAAATTTGACCTTCAATATCTCGGCAACCAGTAAGCCGAATGTATCTTTTTGTTTCTTAAAAGAAGCGTCTTTTAATGTTCTTTAAGTGTATTAATTTTGAAATTGATATGTTTAAAGCTCGTAAAGTTATTTAATTTGTTTATAAGCCTAAAAAATGTTTATAATTTTTAAAAAAATTATTGGCTTTCCTAGTAAACCGATTTGAATTTTACAAAAAGCGTTTGAAAGTGTGAGACTTCCTTTATATGTAAAAAAAATTGCAACTATCTGAAGGCCTTATTTAGGGCCTACTATGAATTTGAAAATTTGCGATTTTTTTCCAGTAGGCTGGATTGCAAAATTATTATGCAAAACCTATCCGACCGATCTTAACAAAATTTAGCACACGTTTTAAACATATTAAAAAGTTTTTCTAGGCGGAATATGGAACTTGTAAGTCAAGTTTAGAAAGTCGAAAACATTTAAAGGATTAACTTCATTTTTTGTACTTTTCTTTCCAATTATTGCTATTTTTTTAACAATAACCATTAAATTTTCAATTTCTAGCTAACAAAATATTGTGTAAAATTTAATAACGAAACTTTTAACTACTTATAATTTTTTCTCTAAGATCAATATTTTTCGAATTATAAATGAAAATAGGAGCAAAAAAATGAGAAATTTTCAATTGTTTTCAGATTTTGTTAAATAAAAAATTTAGCACAGGGTTTGCGACTGGCGCATATCGTGATTATCGATACTGGACATATCCTGAAGGGATTCCAGCAAAAAAATAGCTTCCCTCGAAAATTTCCATTATGGTCTGAATTTCTACAGATGCCGCCTAGCCTAGTAATTCTACTATGTATTATAGATCTTTTGAATCGCTTGATGGTGTTCCAAATAGAATATACGTCTTTTGGCTGATAACTTATTTCCTATAGATTGATTATTAAATTGAATTATCAGAAAGTAAACATCTGATTTTTCTCTGATAATTTTTCTCTTTCTTCCTGGTAAAGACGATGGAATATCCACTGTTTCATTTGATTTGCGGAATAAATTTACTGAACAATTCAATTTTTACGTCTATTTGATGTTAATTGCACTATATATTTCTTGAACAGTGTTTGTGGACAAAAAATTACAATACATAACAACTTTATCTTGAATTTTATACTAAAAAATAATTTTTTAGGTTTTCTTCCCTGATATAGAACGAGCTGAGTGGATAAATAGAGTAAGTTGTACATTTCAAAACGTGTTATGTACTTTTAAACCTTTTTCTTATTGTAGATAATTAAACAAGTATGGCCCAATGTTAACCAATATGTTCGCGAACTCGTTAGAGATGTTATTCAGCCAGCTTTAAGGGAAAGTTTGGAGAAATACAAATTAACTGGCTTTAAATTCGAACGAATTATTTTGGGTACTGTGGTAAGTATTTTTATGACCAAATATCCCAGAAGTTACAATACTATATTATTTTTTAGCCTTTCCGAATAGGAGGAGTCAAAGTATATGACAAAAACACTGATCGAAATGAAATAGTTATGGATCTAGATATCTTGTAAGTAAACCACGCAAAAGTTGTGGTCGAACTGTTTGAATTGTGTTCAAAATATGAGTCAGATTGGTTAAATAGTTTTTGCGACATTTGATTTGTTTATATATTTTTTTTTCAAAAATGTGCCAATTTCTAACGCCGTTGTAGATAATTTGGCTAAATGTATCTCAATAATCCAGCGCTTATTTTCTTTGCTAAGATATATATTAATAACCTACGGAAAATACGTTTAAACAATTTTATTTATGTACACAAAAATGATTTAATAATAAATAGTACTGTTTAAGCTTATAAACATTCGCAATAACTCTGTAGAATTTAGTACAAATTAAATGCCAAAAAGTATTCATAAAGCTGGTTAAAAACACAACTTTTAGAAAACAAGTGGTCCTACGACCTTTAGGAGTCAAGATCATCATCATCATCATAAGTGGCTCGACAATCCGTTGTGTAAGAATTTTTCTCACTTTAGCACCATAATTCAATAAATCCCTTCGAAGATCTGTTCTTGTCTTTCTTGGATTTATTTTGCTATATCTTATCAGAATTTTATCAGTTCTTGGAGTTGTTTTCCGTTTGTGCCCACATTTTCCTTTTGTTTTTAAAGACGATGATCCACAATCTCGAAACGTTTTTAAAATTCTTGAATCACTTGGTTTTCCCACACCAACGCTTGTAGCCCATCTCTCAAATCCATAAACGTACGTTTACTAAGAGCGATTACTGTAGAACTCTTCGTAGGAGTAGTATCCATCTTTGAACAAGCAAAATTAACACGTATTACAAGGAACACAACATTAGAACCACCGGCTTTCACAACTGAACTACTGACTCGCTAAAACCAGTCAAACTATCGGACGATTAAATTATAGTCAAGGTCGACTAGTCCCACTGACTCGAGGTTTGGATCAATATAACCGGTTTGAGGCTATTCGGAACATCACTGATAATCACATACTCACTCAGAGCAGAAAAACATGTTTGTGCCAATTAATTCCAACATTATAGTAGTACGTTACTTTAGTTATACCGGGAAGATTGATTGATTGTCAATTTCAATTTGTAGGTATTTATTGGAGCAACATTTTTTTCTTTCCTTCATATGCGAATTTTGATTCCAAATTGAGTCCAAATTCATAATTCAATTTACATTATCTTAAATTATCTAAAAATCCTTTAAAAAGTAAATATATATTACTGTATATTTTAGCTACGCAGGAGATTGTGATATCACCTTCCACCTTAAAGGTATGAAAGGAGGAATCCGAGATTTTCAAGTAAGCTATAACGTAATATGGTTGACCGCATACTAAGTTTCCTATATTTTAGTTGCATGGTATGCTAAGGGTAGTTATGAAACCACTTATTACTTCCATACCTTTGATAGGAGGACTGCAGGTGTTCTTTTTGAATAATCCGGACATTGATTTTGATTTAGTAGGAATCGCTGATGTACTAGACATGCCTGGCCTAAGGTATCACCTTATCCTTCAAGATTTAACACTATTTTGTAACTATTTTATAATTGCAGTGATATCTTGCGAAGGATTGTTGTCGAAACGGTGGCTTCTATGATGGTTTTACCTAATAAATTTCCAATAAAACTTAGTGAAGAAGTCGAGGCTGTTGAATTGAAGGCTCCAGAACCAGAGGTAGGTAGAAAATTAAGTCAATGTTTTTTCATGTTGAGTAACTCTGATTTACAATGATATAGTAGTATTAATTATGATCATTTTTCAACACGGTCAGTGTAATTTGGGAACACTGTGAGATCAAAAGAAATTAATGAAAGTAAACAAATTTGTAGTGGAAATTATTCTTAAAGAAACTTGCTATAATATGTCTTTGATGTCAATTTTATGTAAAATAACCTCAAAAAGTTATAAGGCTCGAAAGAAAAGTAGTTCTAAAATTTTTAGTTATTTTTGTTTATAACTTTACTTTATGATAAAAACTAATAGGAATATTCAATATAATTTTCTGTGGGGTTGCTAGTTACGAGATACGAGGTTTGGCGACTCCTGAACTTAGGCTAATACTTACTTTCTTAACACTTAAAAAGAATAAAATTGCTAAAATAGACTTCAGTAGACCATATCCATCAGTTAAACATGTACGGGATTGTTTTTTTTTCATTTGTCTACTTTTAAATAACCAATAAGAGCCACAGTATTTAAAATATAAGATAACATACACCAAAGGGTACTTTAAAAATATGTTCAATTTTTAAATTTTTGTTGTTTGCTTTTTTTTCAAATTTTTAATTTGTATTATTTATTATGACCGGCTATGAATTAGTTTCACTTCACAGTTTTTAGTTATATTTTGTCAAAAAAGTGACTACCGTACAAGAAATAATTATCTTACCCGAAAAAACAACAATTCTATTTTTTTTTAATCAAATAAAAGGCAGATATCGAGTGTTATTTATTAAATCTTGCCCAATATTTGGGCTTAATATCTGCCTTTTATTTGATTAAAATTCATTTTTTCTAAAACCAATACTTTTAGACGGCATCGTTGCCAAAAATTCTTTTACGCATCAAGTAATCATTTGGGATTGATGTCGTACATTTTTCAATTACCTCAACAAATGGGGGATAAAATCAAGGGTTGCGCCCTAGATTTCTCATCCCTGTACCATCCGATATGTACGGCACTAATATTAAATTAAATTATTAATTATTAATAAATTATTAATAAATTATTAATATTAATAAATTATATTATTAATAAATTAATATAAATAAATTAATTATTAATTAAATTAGGGCCCGCGTAGCGCAAGCGGTAGTGTGCTTGCCTCGCATGCCGGTGGTCGTGAGTTCGAATCCTACCGCCGGCAAGAACAACTAGGCATTTTTAAAATGTCTATAGGCCCCAGGTCGACTCAGCCTGAATAAAATGAGTACCTTGGGTAAAACCAGGGGTAATAATAGGCGGTTGAAGCGTAGCACTGGCCATGTTACCTTCCTTGTATACCGTAGGCCCTAGATATAGCAGACTACCCTGCTATACTCCCAAAGCCGCGTGCGGTATAAAACGGGAGACTATTATTATTAATATTAAATTATTGTATTAAATTATTAATTTATAAAAAAAAATAAAAAATAAAAGTGCAATTTCTGTATTTTTCATTTTGTTTATTGAAATGTAATAAAATCGACTGGTTAGATTACTAGGCCGTCTTCTTCAGTGACTGGCAAATGTCGTCATCCTTTTGGTTATTTTCAGCTGCCAACTGATCACCTTCTACGATTCTTTTGTAATATTCAAGAGTGTCTACAGACCTCCAATCTTCCCCGAAACGTTTTTCCAGTAACTTCCTCACATCTGTGGCTTTTAGCTCGGAAACTGTCCCTGTTTTTGTAACAATGAGCTGAGGATTTATACCTTGAAACTTACTTCCCTTCTAACAAAATTCCTTGTATTGGCAAAAATCTGATCTGTAGTTAAAATATCCATTGATAAGAACATTGTTTCTCTTGGAACTTCGTTTGAAGTGGAACCTTTTCGAAGGATCGAAGTGGAAGTGCCACTGGGCAGGAGGTCGCACCACGTCGAAGTTTGATTTCCGATCATAGTTTAAGCCATACTGTGGAATCACAGTTTCATAAGGAGAAAAAACTTAAATGTATTCAGCTGATTCAATGATCGCTGGTTTTCTTCTGATCTCCTTCCCGATTCTACCAAATACCCGATCAGATAGGAGAAAAAAATGGCCCACTATGGAAAACACAAACTCGGCTTTTTCCACAGTTGCAGGAGCTTTTTTCATGAGCCAAAACGCTCCCAAACTCATAAAACAATTTTTATTTTGTCCTCCACATCCGTCGGAGGCAAGGCGGATAGTTTTCACAGTTTCAGGAATGTTTTTCTTTGGTTTGGTTGGGTCACCAACTACAATGGTTAAATTGTACCATGGGCTTTTAGACCATATGCTCACTTTCTACTTCCAATATAGTTTCGATGTAATTTAATAATTTATATTTATATTGTTATTGAATAAAAATTTTATTTTGCATGTAATGTGTTCCTGATTAGGCTAGTCCCCTATGACAATTTTATTGCATTTCATTTAATGTGATTTTACATCGAACCGTATAAAACAAGTTGCCGAATCGTATAAAGCAAACTAATATAACGGCAGAAATATTTACCTGCATTAAATGAATTATAGTTTGTTTGAAGTGCATTTAGAAAAGATTTAATTTTATGTATGATAAATATCAAATAAATCATTACAGATTTTTTTAATAATGTTATAAACACATACATGAATTAAAAAGCCAAATATATTGCATCGAAGCACAAATTAGTGAAACCTTCCGTGTCTGAATCGGTATAAAATATAAATACTGTGTTATGACGGTTATTTTACCACCCCTGCCTCGCCAGACAACTCGAACATTCCTATGAAAGACTCTTTGGAGCCTTGATTTTCTTACTTCTTCCATTAACGTGTTCTTCGGTTTTCTTCTCTTCTGTTTTTCTATAGGTATCCATGCGAGTGCTTGTTTTGTGAATACAGTCAAAATCGTTTATAACGAACTTCAGGGGACTGGTGCTTTTTGTACGTTGTAGCCAGTGTTCTCTGTAAGCAGTTCTATCGGTTATAATGAACAGGTTGCTATAAACGATATTACACTAATAGGGACAGTTAGTTCGTTGTACCTAGGGTTATGACGCAAAAATGTGTTACTTTAACTATACTTATAATATGTTATAATAACATATACATAACATTTAACATATGTGTTTATTGTACTTAAGCAAATCTAAATATGTACATACATATATGTATAATATGTATTGAAATAAGTATAAGTAGTGAATAAAGTATACACATAATATAACGGCTTCTCCAAATCTTCGTATTATAAAAATGTAGCCATACATATACTATTTATTTTAAAAAGACAAAAAAATACATACATATATGTATTACAAAATATGTAAACACATTTTACCTGAATATTTAATGAAAAAAGTCTGTAATTTTTGTTTGTCGCCTTCCTTGAACTTCTGAAAAAAACATTTTTTCAATTGATGTGGAAACAATCGATAATGATTCTTTTACACTCTGGGAAGTTTCAGCAGTCTGAATAAATGCTCGTATGGTGGAACAAGCAGCATACGCTTCAGCAACAGTAGGGATTTTGCCGAAATCTTCCAATTCTTAGATATCTGAGAGTTCTTCGCTTGTACTTATTTCGTCATCCACTCGTACATAGTCATCTGCAGAGCAGTCAGAACTGAAAAGGGAAATGGCATCCTGCAAATGCGTTTGTGCAATATCGTTGTATGCGATTCCTGATGGTTGTAAGTCTTTAGTTAGGCCGGAAAAACGAAAACAGTTGATGATCGTTTCCTTCCGCACAGATTCCCATGCCTTTGATATCATTAGTACAGCGTCAAGAATACTGACTTTCGTATCGTCGTTATTCTCTCTCTTTTCGATGATTTTGTACACCAATTCTTTCCGAAAGCATGCTTTAAGACTTCTTATAACTCCTTGGTCCATGGGCTGCAGTACAGACGTACAATTTGGAGGCAGAAAAACGAGTTTAATTTGTTTTAACCTGTCAAATGGGGGGTGGGACGGACAGTTGTCGACAATTAAAATTATGTGTTTCTTTTGTTGTAAAAGTTCACTGTCCCATTTTAGTAAAGTCTTTTCAAAAATAGCTGACGTCATCCAGGCTTTTTTATTGAAATCATAATCAACAGGGAGATTTTTCACGTTTTTAAAACAGCGCGGCATTTTACTTTTTCCTATCACCAAAAGCTTCCTTTTTATGGAACCGGACATGTTGGCTGTAACAAGAACTGTAACACGCTCTTTTGAGAGCTTACCACCGGAACATTTCTCGCCTTTAAACTTTAACGTGTGATCAGGTGTCAGTCTAAAAAATAACCCCATCTCGTCAGCATTAAAAATTTCATCATCGCTATAGTCGGACCTGAGTGTAGGCCACACATTTTCAACCCAGTCATTTATAATTGATCTGTCAACAACTGCTGACTCACCTGAAATTTTTCCATGGACAATATTGTGGCGAGCTCGAAAACGTTGAACCCAGGAAGCATTACACTTAAAATTCTTCTTCAAAATCACAGCGAAAGCATCAGCCTTTAGCTGAAGCATCGGCCCACTCACGGGTACATTGTTTGCGCGTTGTTGTTTAAACCAATCGAGCAAAGCACTTTCAATGTCACTGTAATTTGATGACCGAACGCGTCTTCCTTTTTCACACTTATTAAATTGCTTAATAATTTTCTCTCGCCTTTTCATTATTCCAGCAATTGTCGAGCGTGCCGTTTTAAATTCCCGGGCAATCGAACTCGCGGAATCACCGGAATCGACTCGGCAAATTATTCCAAACTGTTCCTCAATAGTAAATTGTTTCCGTGACATTTTTTCAATGAAGGCTAGACACAACTGAATTCAAATTCAGAAACTCTTGGCTTAGGCCAAATGGTGAAATATGTATAAACACAATTTTGTAATACAATGGACCCGTCTTGGGAGGTCTAACTGTCTAAAGGACAGTAGATGCCTGTCCGGATGTACTATAACCATAAATTAATAAGGCCTTACTTCTCATTTCGTGGTATTAAATATCGGTAATACCTGTGAGAAATACAACACTACAATGTCCATTTTCATAACTTTACAGGATAACACTTTTAAACTATTTATTAAGATGTACGCTGTAACCAATATTTTAACTACTAGTGTTCCAAGAAATACGTTTGCTCTAACCGATTTGTTTATTATAAGCAATATAAATGCGTTTTTTGTATGTCATTTTATGGGACCTACTATTTTGTTTGTTATATCCGATTGTACGTTATAGCCGGTGTCGTTGTAAACGATTTTGATGTATTTTGTTTTCTATTCGTTGTACGATGTATATATGTATATGATATCTACATTGTATATGATTTCTATATTATATGACGTGCTTGTGTTGTATGTGTTCCATTATTGTACCTTCTATTCTCATGCGTTCCCTGATTTCTTCTTTTCTTATCCCCTCCCTTCTCGAAATCCATAGTGTCCGTGTTATTACATCTATTTGCATGGTTTCTCTATATTCTTTTTTCTGGAGTGAATCCGGCATGGTATTTTTTAATTATGCCTTCTACTTCTGTGTAAGCTTCCACGCCTTGAAATCAGTCACAGGGCATGGTCTCATTTTGCCAGACAAGAAATAAAAGTTTATGCAGTATCTGTATCACCAGTAGGTACTCAAATTGCCTCTTTTTTCTTCTACGTAATATTTTTTCTTCTCTTCTTAAGGGCAGGTTGCCCCAAACAATTATTCTCCAAACGGTTTTTGGAGGAACCTGGTCTGAGAGTCTGGTAATCCTCCTTTGTCTCCTTGTTCACCGTGCTTGATTTGTCTTTAGGTTTGCTCTATTGCTGTTACTTCTTCTCAAACCATTCATTTTTAACTGGTTTGCTTTTCCCCAATATTCCTGTTTCCAGGCTCTCAATTTTTTCATCCATTTGTTTCCTATACTTTCTGGCAACTGTTTCCATATGCAGATTATCAACGTCAATTCTGTCTTGATTCACATGTTTACCCTGTTTTAGGTTTTATATTCTTCTTCTGATGTTTACCATTACAATATAGGGGTAACTATCTCTGTTTGGTAGCTTCTGGCGTCCATAAGATCGGAAGAATGCGTTGCATCTATCAGAATGTGATCTGTCAGGTTCACGGTTTCATTGTCAGAGAATTTTCAAGTTCCTTTCTGTATCATTTTATGGGGAAATCCTGTTCCTTCTGCTATCACGTTTTGGGTGCTTGCAAAGGTTATTAGTCTCAATCTGTTATTGTTTGACTCTTCATACAAGCTCTCACGTTCTATAGTTGGCTGGAAAAATTGCTCTTTACCAATTTTTGCATTAAGGTCTTCAGCAGTTATTATCATATACGTGGGGATCAGATTCTTTATCACGGATGGGGTAAACCATGTTTTATCAGATCAAACTGCTAAGGTGTCATAGAATTAATTTTCTTCGTCGTCTTCCATTTCTTCCGTACATACGTGTACACTAAGTAATATATGTTGTTTATGGGTTTAAAGTTAGGGACTAATTGCTTTGCTTTTGTACAGACTAGGAAACCACTGTCAAACTCGTATTGGCTGGTATGTACGCTATAGTATTGGTAAGATATATAGGTGTTATTAGATGCTAGGTCTTCGTGAATTAAACAGTCTGACTTTTTTTCTTAATGCTTCCATAACGATAAGATTTTTTTGAGAAAAGAAGTTGTTAACGTTTTTCCCAATCCCCTAATCTTCAGAGACCATTACTCCGGCTCCCATTAGCCCTTACACCGGGTTTGGTTCTTCCACAGGATTGCTCAGTTAACAAAAAATAAAGATAATCTGAAACCTTTACCTTATGTTTGATGTATTGCTTGTTTTGTACATCAATGATTCCCATTTCGTTTTTTTCTAGATATCTGGGAGTTGTGCCAGTTTTAGATGTTGTTTCTGCGGTGTACATCTTGACAAGTCCTATTACAGGGTTATTTATATATGCGATTTTTTGTTTCTATTTTCAGGTGTTTGTTTTTCCATATACTATCGTTAAGGCCTCTCGAGGTTCTGCTTGCTCTTGTCACTTCCCCTTTCACATTTCTTCACCTTTTAACCAACATTATTTTAACTTGATAAATTGATTATAATATATTTAAATTTCGTTATTTGTTCTACCATTTGGTGTTCAGTGTCAAGTTTGCACTTTATTAGTTCCTTTGATACTACTAGACTCTTTGTAACGATATTTTCTTGTCGATTTTTTAAGCTAGCATTGAACTGATGGTCAATTATGAACAATATTTGTTTATTTTTTATTTATACATAGAATTATCTTCACCTTATTAGTGTATTATATTTACAGGGAGTGCTAAGAGTACACGTTTTCGAAGCTAGCCATCTGATGAAGAAGGACATCAGTGTCCTCGGCAAAGGCAAATCTGATCCTTATGCCGTCGTCACTGTTGGAGCGCAAGAGTTTAAAACAAAAGTCATTGACAATACTGTTGATCCCAAATGGGATTTCTGGTGCGAGGTAAGTGTCGTTAAATATTTATTTGCATGACGTCCACTTCCAAAACACAACACATAACATTATTTACACGTAGTAGAGCAAAATTCAATTGCCTTGGAACAGAAAAGAGAATTATTTAAACACATAGAAATTTGTACCGTTAAATCACTTTACTAAAATTTAATACAGCGTTGTAAAAATTGGCGAATAATGACCGCCGCATTGAGGCTTGCGCAAGCTACCAAGTAATGACTATTTAGGCTGGGTGCAAGCTTATAACTGTAAAGTTGAATAGTATACGAAACAAATCCTTTGTAAATTGTAAGATCGTAGACGAAATAAAAAAATACCAATTTCCATTTTTTCTTTGGGGTTCGAGTTTGTTTTTGTTTTAAGACCAGGATTCGGAAGGGAGGACCAGAGGAACGAATTGTGTACCTAGATAGTTTCCATTTTATGTTGGGCAAAGACTTTTTTAACTTATCGAATACTCTACGTTTAAGTTGTATTCTTTATTTAATTTTCTCGAGTATTGGTTCCTGTAAAATGAGTTTTCGACTCAAATAAACGTATTGTATCTTTAAATCTAAGCTTTCTCACATACAGTCCGTTATTATTCATTTATCTAGTTTGCAAATTAAATTTGTGTTTTTTTAGTAGGTTGGTTAATAGTTTCTGCGAAAGTAGATCTGCTTGTCTACGCTTTCAAAGCGGAGATCCAATGCTGTACAAAAGATCCCATGTCATCATAAAGTAAAATTAATCAAATGGTTCATATTATCTTAATCATCCGGTATTTTAGTTAAAACTTGTAAACTATTCGTACTTTCAGTTATACTTGTATGTACATATACCAACTTTTTGATATTAAAAAGTCGACTTCTTCCTTATGAACTTGACCGACAGTCAAACGGTAATTAATAGAACAGAGTGACGTTGAAATGAGATAATTGGAAATAAAAATATTATTATAAATTATATGACCAACTGGAAACTATATTTAGCAGGTGTCCATAACTATAAATAACTTTACTGGCATAGATCATGCGATTTGTTTTTATGTTTAAAGCAATTTAAGCCTTAAGGCCGTTCCTTGCGTTTCTGGGCATACCTAAGTTCCAATGTAAAAGTTTATATCAAATAACGCAAAAACTATGGCAGATATTGAGATGATTCTTTTTTTATATGAAAGGTCTTAAAAAGTTCTAGTGCACTATTTAGTTGTAAATTAATAAATTGTTTAAACAATATTTTTTTTTTCAAATATTTTTGGTTAAAATAAACGTAAAAATTTTTTTTTTTTAATAGGGCACTACAGAATTTGACCCACTTTCCGAATCTGCTTTTATTTTTAACATAAAGTGTAACACAAAGCAGCTATTTGGTATAAACTTTTTTTAAAATCTCAAATTTTGCTAAATGTAACTTTCTCTCTCGGCCAGTACAGGCTGTCCTTGTCGATAGTTTCTGGATTCTCGTCGACACGGTTAGGTTGGTTAGGTAAGAAGTATAATACCCTCTCGAAGGTGGGTCATAAATAATGTTGAATAACATTATTAGGGTTTATTTCGACTTTTGACAAACCAGTGTGTTAATTGTTTTTAAAATGGGTAGTTCACGAAGAAGTTTATGTTCCGATTGAGGAAATTTTATATAAATAAGCAGTACCTATAATTTGATTAAATTTTTATATGAATAGAAATATTTTCTGTTAATTTGTAACATTTTCCTTCTAAATGTTTATACTGTTTTTATAATAATACTATTGTTTCAGTATTTGCTTATATAATAATTTATTATGTAGAAACAGCGTAGAATTTTGGTCAATCAGATAGTACATTTTTTTGTATTTCAATCAGAATTATTATTTTCTTTTCTTCTTTACATAAAAGCTTAGAGTAATACTCAAATATTTTGCAGTATTTGAATACGGAATTTGATTATTTATATTTATTGGACAATACCCAAATATTTTGCTGTATTTGAATATGGAATTTGATTATTTATATTTATAGGAATATTTATTTTCAACGTTTTTGTTAGTAAAGTTTACATAATATATGAAGTTTGTTTCTTCACTTGCTTGTCCAGCCATATTAGTCCAGGCTAATAAGGATTTTCTCGTGACACTTAATAATCCAGGTAGCTGACAACTTTTTTAGTTATTGTAGACCTATAAGAAGAAAACCTACCTGTTTCCTGCGTAAAGTTCGGAGCCGTTTTTTAATGATTAACAATTAATGCAAAAAACGCGATTCTTTCGATTTTTGCACTCTATTATTTATTTATTTATTTTTACGCACAATAGGCCGTTAAGGCCTAAAGCATTTTTTTTACAACATAATTCTAATATTAACTAATTACAATTATTTTAAACAAAACTTTAACGTAAATATGTATATATAACATTCTTAATTACTCTGAAGGACCTGGTGTACAATATTTTTCCATTCGCTTCTATTTTGTGCTTTTTTTTTCCATTCCCTCACCTTCACGTGTTTAAGGTCTTCCTCCGCTTTACTAATCCACCTCGTTCTGGGTCTACCTCTTCTTTTGGGGTCGATTAATTTTCTGGTTATTACTAGTTTAGGAATTCTGTTTGCTGCCATTCTTTCCACATGTCCCAACCATCTGATTCTTTGTGCCTTGACGAACTTGGTAATAGTAGGTTCTTTGTATAAAGCCATTAATTCATTGTTGGTTCTTCTTTCCCAACCATCTTCTGCCTTTCATCCTCTGAATATGCATCTCAATATTTTCCTTTCCCATCTTTCCAGAGTATCCTCTTCCTTCTTATTTAATGTCCAGGCTCACCGGCATATGTTACTGTGGGTCGAATTACTGTTTTATATATTCTGAATTTACCTTGTCTAGAAACGTATTTTGAGTTCAGTAGGGCTCTTAAACCACATAATTTTTTATTCCCTTTTGCTATTCTGGCTACGAGCTCCCATTTATCTTTTCCATTTTCATCGAAAACTACACCTAGGTATTCAAATTTGTCGACCCTTTTAAAACTATAGCTTTTACCACTTACTGACCTCATACTAAAGTCTTCTTTTTTCCCTTCTGTTCCTTCTATGATCATATATTTAGTTTTGTCTTCATTTAGTTCCAATCCAAATTTCTGTGCTTCTTCGATGATTTTCTTCACAACTCTTCTTAATTCTTACTCGGTTTTTGCTAGGATCGTTAGATCATCAGCAAATGTCAAGCACTGGTGCTCATTTTTCATGATCGTTTCTTCCATCTTCATGCTGCATTTTCTGATTACAGCTTCTAATACTAATTTGAATAATGTAGTGGATAAAGGATCTCCCAGTCTCAAGCCTTTTGCAACCGTAAATTGATCTGATATGTGACCCTGCCAAGCAGGGTGCTCACATATAAGCTAACATTCATTTTGCCATATAAGTACTATTAGTTTATGGGTTACTGCAAAAAGCTGATCATCACCTTTTTTTATATATTTTCCAACAGATTTAATCGATTCCTGTGGCATTATTGTCTTTGAGTTTTAGGACGGCATTTGACACTTCTATTATTGTTGGGTGTTCACTGTGTAGTTGTCGATGTAGATTTTGTTGATTGTCTATGTTGTAACCTCTTTCAATATCGTTTATATCATATATTATATAAATATATATATATATATATATATATATATATATATATATATATATATATATATAATATGATATAATAATAATGTACTTATTCTTCTTCTTCAAGTTCCACTCCTATCGGAGATTGGAAATCATTCTGGCAATTATCATTTTGTTGGATATGCGCCTGAATAGTTCAGTTGAATTGCATCCAAACCATTCACGGAGATTACGTAACCACTAGATTTTACGTCTTGATGTGTGATGTATGATGTGCCCCAAGTATTCTAATTTCCTGATTTTTATGGAATTTAAAACTTCGCATTGTTTTCCTAGTTGTTCGAGAACTTGTTCGGTTGTTTTGCGATCCGTGACCAAGCTTGAATCCCATATAAAAGGGTAAAGAAAATATAACATCAAAGCATTCTTATCCGGAGCGATATATTGATATCTCGATTACAAAAAAGTTTTCTCGTTCTATTAAAAGTTGACCGTGCAATTCCAATGCGGCATCTTATTTCTTTTGTCTAATCAGTATCTTCTGTGATCCATGCTCCAAGGTATTTGTACAAAGATATTTGTTCAATTTCTGTATTATCTAGTACTAGCTTAACTTTGATGCTTTGTGCTTTTGTAAATACCATGAACTTGGTTTTCTTCAAATTTATTTTTAATCCAAAAAATGTACCTATAATATGATATAATCCTTATAAAATGTCTTCCGACGTTCATTTTTCATTCAATTCGGTTGTTCCATTGTTCTTTAAGTTCTTTCGAGCTCATTAAGTTTCTTATTCCTTCCATCCGTGTTTTCTAAGGTAATCCTCTCTTCTGGATTACGGTAGGTGTTCATACAGGTACTTGTTTTAGGAGTCTCTTATCTTTCATTTATTGGACCTGTACCCATTTGAGCTGCTTTCGTTGTATGCCATCCATGACTGTACCTTCTATTCTCATACTTTATTGCATTAAGTTCGACGAGATATCTTTCTTCGATATTAATCTGTCTCTGTTAATCGTCGTGTTTCACAACCGTATAAATAAAGCATGCTTTTTACCACAGTTTCATGGGTTGTAGTACTAGAGAGAGCATGTCAGCTGTGCCAAAACGAAAAATAATCCTCCTTATTGCTTTCACTGGAATAAGCTTGACCATTTAACTGGGCCCGGGCTACCTCTTTCTAATTCTTTAAACTCCTGTTTTAAAATTATTAATTATTTTGTCTAATTACCTATTTAGTTGTCAAAACAGATACATTGTTAACTAAAGAAGTGAAAGTGGTTCAATTTAGAAATTATATAGTAAATAATAAATATTTGAAAACTGATGCACATATTCCTCCCGCGATTTATGCTTCAAGTACTAATTTTATAAATCGCACTTCTACTAATAGACGTAAATTCTTTCATTTTAATTTCATGAATGTTTTTATTCAACATTATTTCAAAACCACACTGAATAGAAGGCCGCCCAGTCGTTTATTGTATAGACCCAAGACTTTACACAATAGGGGGTTGTATAAGGTAGGTATAAAGCTTACCTCTAGTACAAGATGACGTTTAGAATATTCTTCGTGAATGGATTTTGTTTTTGTAAAGAAAGATATTTTTGAAATAGACATCTCTCTGAATTTTACCGTTACAATTATCGAGGATAAGCCTTAATCTACTGTATATATTCAATGGTTGAATAGCAGAGGTTTTATCGGTCAATAGTTGGCAAAAGCATCGTCGGTTTACTACAAATAAAAAAGATCTTATAATATAAGTCCAGAACGAACGGGGTTCATACTTACAAAAACAAGTTGTAGGTTTTTTTGATGTTATAAAAACTCTACGATAACTTAACATTAAAGATTAACTAAACGAGAAAAAAGAAACAAAAAACACATGAAAAACTGTAAAAGAGCACTATTGTTCATTTAATTTTGACCAATGGCTTCATTTGAATGTTGGTTTAAGCTCGTTCAAGGGTCAAACCATACTAATCTTGTCGATTGTTTTCTATAGGTTGTAGGATGTCATAATTTCACATGTGGCTTGTTCTCATACATGTGTTTGGAATGCATGGAGGTACGATTATCGACGGGATTTATGAACGGAAAGGAGACCGACCTTTTTTAAAAATAGATCCATTTTTTCTTTTTCTTTAAAAAAAAAAGGATAAATAATAGAAATGAAGTTGATGTCTTGTAAGGGGTTTAGATTTGTTTTGTATGATGAGAGAGTGATATATCTGTCTCAAGTTATCGATGTCGGTTCTTTTATTTAGGAAGGCTGGATGTTTTAGAATTTGGCACATTTCAAGGATGGATCGCTTGTGATAATTTTGTTGTTTGCACAGTATTTTGGTATTCGTGAAATCGATACTTTTGTTTGGTTGAATTAACATGTGCAAGGGCACAAGATGGTTTGGAAATCCTAATGCCGCTTTTGTGGGACGTTAGTCGACCTTGGAGAGAGCGGCTGGTCGTTCCTCTTTTTATCTTACAGTCGTATCAAATTGTTCTTTCCATTCCCCCTTCTGTTGTGGTTAGTTTATTCATATTTGCCTTGGTTAGGGTCCAGGTTTGACATCCATATATCATGATAGTAAGGATGAACTGGTTGAACACTTTGATCCTCAAGTATTGAGGTATTTTGACGTTCTTTAGTATCCAACTAAGTTTTCCAACTCTTACCCATTCCAGTCTTGGTCTTTTAGTGATTTCTACATGTTGGTTCTCTTTGTTAAGTTTCAGAATCTGGTCTAGGTAAGTTTATTCCTGGACTTGTTCTAACTCACTGCCATTTATAGTTATACCTGTGGGGTCTTCTGTGTTTGTCTTTGTTTTTGTCATATTCATTGTAGACAGACGTATTGGGAGCTGTCTGCGAGTTCCTTTATGATAAGTTGTAATTTCTCGAATGTGATCGCTATAATCACGATGCCGTCTGCGAATCTGAGGTGGTTTAACTTCTTGCTATTAACGTTGATGCCATATGTTGACCAATTTATAGTTTTCGAAACGTCTTCTAGGACTAGATTAGAAAGTTTTGGAGATATTATATCCCTGACTAACTCCTCTCTTAATGGGGATGGGATTTTTATTTTCGTCTAGTTGTACTATCATAGTTGCGTTTTCATATATATTATGTATTAATTGTCTATATCTCGGATCTATTCTAAAATTATTAATAGCTTGTTCTATGGCCCACATCTCGATACTATCAAATACCTTTTTATAGTCTACGAAAGCAAGAAATACAGGTATGCCTTCTCTCTCATTGTCCTTAGATGGTTTGATGCGCTATATGCTTTGCGAAGGCCAGCCTGTTCAAACGGTTGGTAATAATCCATTTTCTAGTCAACCGATTGTGAATAATTCTGAAACAGTTTTTGTACTTGACTGAGCAACGATATAGGTCTGTAATTCTTTAGGTTACATTTGTCCCCCCTTTTTTGTGTAAGAGTATTACTAGACTTTCATTTCAGTCTTTAGGGATTTTGATATTATGGAGACATCTATTAAATAGCTCTGTTAGTATAGGGATCTTGATGATTGGGTTTATCAATATAATTATAAAGAACTAAAACTTAATGATTTTTTACATCAAATGTTTATTTATTATTGATATTACTATGTTTTTGTTTTAATTTTTGTAATCATTATCGTATATTTGCTTACATATTATTTGTACAGTTTTTTTGTGTATATGTATTTACATAACTTTTTAAGAAGTTAATTTGACCTCAAATTATATTTAAAATTTATAAACATAATTTGTATATATTTGTATATATAGTATCAACAACACATCCTCTGCATATAGAGTAGATACTAGTTATGGAACAAATCATTTGTTTTAAAAACCTGCGTAGAACCATTATCTCTTGTCAACGTTATTCAGTTTCTTCAGTTTTTAATTTGGTTTACAATAGCTATTTTATTTTAATTTTACCAGTTTCAAATACTGGAATCAAATGGACAACAACTTTATGTACACATTTGGGACAAAGATGATACGGGTGGTGATGAAAACTTAGGAAGGTAAGACAAAAACCACGAAAAGAGATCCAAAAGTTTTCTATTTCTTGATATGCAGATTAAAATGTATCTACCTAGTGCATGAAAGTAATTGTGCATGATCTTTATTTGTCGTTAGTTCAGTAGATATAAGAAAATATCGTATCGCATGTAGAAGAAAAGTACTAGTTTTTTATTGGTTTTACAATCCGTCAAGGTATAGGCTGTATATCACCAACATATTTATCACTGTTTAAAAGAAACTTTAGAAATAAAGTTACGAATATAAAAAAGAATAAAAAGACTGATATGTTTTTTGTACACACTTATGACAAGTCAAAAGAAAAGGCAAAAAAGTATTTTTGAAGTGTGTATATTTTTTAATAATTCCTAGCTGAGCGCTTTCGGCTTTACAAAGCCATCATCGGAGCTATGGTCAATTTATAAATACCACTACAATGGAGAGCTCTCATTTCCTTATTTGTTGAAATTTTGATTTTTTAATTACTTAGTTGTTAAAAATTCTTAAAAAACATACAAAAAACCGACACTGGACTTCACAGACACATTAAAAAATTTTTGTCATGGTACGGGTGTAAGAACCCGACCATTGTTTGCTATGAGGAGGTAGACAGAATAGAACTAATAGTTAGTTATATACTTATACTATATATATATATATATATATATATATATATATATATATATATACTTACACACAGCCATTAAATGCAGTTTCAGGAGCGGTAGGCTTGAAAATGAACTACAGCAAAACAAAAATAATAAGCCGAGATCAGACAAATATAACAATACAAAATCATACCATAGAAAATGTTGGAACATTATGTATATCTAGGTCATGTTATCAAACTAGGAAAACCAAATCAAAATGCTGAAATTAAAAGAACACAACTGGCATACGCTGATGATATCGTCATAATTGGAAGAACCCAAAATGAAGCAGTGGAGGCTTTCACACGTATCAAAAATGCCGCAGAAAACATCGGACTTCTGATTAACATCCAGAAAACTAAATATATGCCGGCCATATCAAGAATTTAACAAAATAACTTAAAGGTACAACACGAAACGATAGAAAAGGTAGAAGAATTCTGCTACTTAGGACCACTGGTAGACTACAAAAATAACACATCCAAAGAGATAAAAAAAAAAGAATATGCGTGGCTAACCGCCGTTATTTTTTCCTGGGCCCTCAACTAAGAGCAAGAAGTATGTCAATAGCAACAAAGTGCAAACTTTATAAAACAATAATACGCCCAGTGCTCACATACGGATCGGAAACATGGGCAATGACGACCCGAGATGAAGAGTTACTACGAGTCATTGAAAGAAAAGTATTGAGGACCATATATGGCGGAGTAAACGAACAGGGTCTGTGGAGAAGGCGATATAACTTTGAACTCTATAGACTTTTTGGTGATGCAGATATTGTAAAGACCATCAAAATAAACCGCCTAAGGTGGGTGGGCCACGTTATGCGGATGGATGAGAGTGATCCCACTAAAATAACTATGCTAACCAGGCCGGTCGGAAGAAGAAGAAGGGGGCGACCTAAACTCAGATATCTGGACGATATACAGGAAGATCTGAGGGAGATTGGAGTGAGGGGCTGGAGAAGGCAGACACTTGATAGGGAAGGATGGAAGAATGTTTTGAAGCAGGCCAAGGCTCACGAAGGGCTGTAGCGCCAACTGATGATGATGTATAACACATGCATACTACCAGTTTGTACCTAGGGCTTGGAGACAGTAGCCCTTACCAAAAAATCTGCTAAAAATTATAAACAACGCAAAGAGCAATGGAACGAATCATGCTTGGAATATCACTAGGAGACAAGATTAGAAACACCGAGATAAGACGTAGAACAAAGATTAGGGATATTGTGGAAGAAATTACAAAAATAAAATGGCGCTGGGCAGGTCACTTAGCCCGATATAATGACAACAGGGGGACACGGAGAATTCTAGAATGGAGACCAAAAACGACAACAAGAAGCATGGGAAGACCTCAAAAAGATGGGTAGATGGCATAAGAGCAGTGTCAGGCAAACAGTGGATTAGATTGGCGCAAGATAGAGAAAGATATAAGCAATTGGGAGAGACCTACATTCAGAAGTGGATGGAAAATGGTTGACAAAGACTGAGAGAAAAGGACGTCTCCCTACTCTGGTCCATCAAAACAACTGCGCATCTCAGGGTCACAAACAAAATTGATTTGGGCCAGAAGCGAAACTGCTTGATGTTGTAGGAACCAAGATATTTGACCTTGTGCACCACTTACAGAATTATACTCTGAGAAACAAGTATTTTTTACTTATACTTACAAATTCTCCGTATAAGTAAAAATACTTGATTCTTGTAAGTGTATAATTCTTGTAAGTGGTGCACAAGATTACATATCTTGGTCCCTACAATATGAAAGGAGCCGACTCTCAGTTTCGCTTTTGTGTGGTCATTAATTCTGTAATTTGCGTAGTCTGTCGATGAAAATTGAAATAAGATATTGAAGGTGATAATGCCTAGTAAAAGTAATAATAGATGTGCAATTCTTGATTTATGTAATGGAATGTCTATATTCCTAAGAAAACTTTTGGATCTCTCGCATAAGTAATGATATCTTACTAACAAATTTTGGGTATATAGTTTAATCGGTTGTTGTCGGTATATAACAAGGCAGAGTTTTAATTTTTCAAAATAACACAACAGAATGCTTGACTCTTAAGTGTTCATTTTCTATGTCTTGAATCTATCCTAAAATTAAAACTCTTCTTACATTCTTCACTTGCTTGTAATGCTTTAGCACTGCTTCATTTTATCATTCATACTTATAAAAGCAGGTTTATACTGGGCGTTTGAAAAATACAATAATAATCTGGTATTTTGTTTTTAATGTTGATATTTTATATTTAATAATAAAGTTAACTAAAACAAATTGGATATTTAATAAGAATTTAACTCTTAAATTTTCATATTTACTCAAAAACTAAAGGTCGCTTTAAAATGTTGTCCTACGTAAAAGTTGAATTAAACGAGAATACAGTCACCTTTGTCGTCAAAAGTTGATCTACACTCTGAATATAAGTGAGGTACGGTGGACAAGTTGCAAAAATCCATAGAATTCTCAGCCAGTTGCTAATTTAACTTAAACTTTCAACAAAATATTTAATATGACCGAATAATTAAATATATCCAACCAAAACCACAACAATTTCCAAGCCGCTAATGACAAGTGATAAAAGCTATAGAACCGGATAGATTCCTAACCTATCAGAAATAATAAAACAGAATTGGACTAAGGTTGAAGCGAAATTAATTAAATTGAGAGAGAGAACATAGATAAATGTTGAGAAAATGGAGCAGAACATAGATAGAATTTTTGGAAAAGTTAAATATATTAGAGCAGCAAAATGTAGGAATTTAAGGGAAAAATTGATTCAATTACCAAATTTGAAAGAATGGAAAATATTTACTTATTGAATAAAAATAATTTTACTTTGATGGTATACAAGGCAAATATCGAACACAGTAATTAATTAAATCTTGCCCAAGTACTTTCGATCAATATATCATCCTCAGGGGCATTTCGTCAGTTGTGGCCTATCCGACATGAGCAGAATGTCATACATGTAAATTTGGACATAACAATACAATACACAAAGAAAAACAAACACTTTAAAAATTTTTTATTATTTTTTTTTTAAATGGAGAAGCTACATGTTATATAGAAGCCGGAGACAGAAACTATATATAATGTAGCTTCTCCATTTTTAAAAATTTTAAAGTGTTTGTTTGTCTTTGTGTATTGTATTGTTATGTCCAAATTTACATGTATGACATTCTGCTCATGTCGGATAGGCCACAACTGACGAAATGCCCCTGAGGATGATCTATTGATCGAAAGTACTTGGGCAAGATTGAATTAATTACTGTGTTCGATATTTGTCTTGTATACCATCAAAGCTCAATTATTCGAACATTCAACCTTATATTGAAAAATAATTTTGTTATATTATCACTCAATACTCACTACTTATTTCTACTTACAAAAATTGAATGTATTTCTGAAATTTGAAGAAAACTAAAAATATCTCGGAAAATAATGAGTTTAGGTATAGGGAATCCTATATAAAAAATGAAAGCATATTATAGATACAATATTTCTAAATAAATATATGCCTTTGCATCCACTGCTGGACATAGGCCTCCCTCATTTTTGTCCATTGTGCTCTATCTTGAGCACTTTTCATTCAATTTCTTGACATTTTCTTGAAATCGTCAGTCCAACGAGTAGGAAGTCTTCCTCTACTTCTTTTGTCTAACCTTGGCCTCCACTCAAGCAATCTCTTTGTCCACCTTTCATCACTGATGCGGACGACGTGTCCGGCCGTTCCATTTCAGTGTGGCAATTCGGGAAATTACATTGGTAACTCCTGTTCTTCGTCTTCAGTCTTCATTTCTAACACGATCACGAAGCGATATACTTATCATTGACCTTTCCATTTTCATCTGAGCTATTTGCAGCGTTTTAGAACTTGTAGCTGTCAATGTCAAAGTTTCGGCACCATAGGTCATCGCAGGCAACACACATTGGTCAAATGTTTTACGTTTTAAAGAAATTGGTATATCGCTTTTAAAGATGTCTTTGAGTTTTCCATAGATTGTCCATGCTAGGTTTATTCTTCTTCGTAGTTCACATGTTTGGTTATCTCTTGTGATCTTTATTTGGTGTCCAAGATATATATATTTTTCCACCAGCTCTACTTCGTTGTCTCCAATATTGATATTTCCATGGTTTTGATTTGTTTTTTTTTTTAATCGTCTTATACCTCTCCTTCTTTAAGCCTATTTCTATTTTACCTCGTACCATTCTATGATCTCTACTGGTAACAAATCTGTTCAGAACCGTGATGTCTTTAACGGTGTGTTTCTTGTCCGCGATAATAAAATCTATTTCGTTTTAAGTTTTTCCATAAGGACTTTGCCATGTCCATCTTCTCTGTGGTT